AGATAGATAGATAGATAGATAGATAGATAGATAGATAGATAGATAGATAGATAGATAGATAGATAGATAGATAGATAGATAGATAGATAGATAGATAGATAGATAGATAGATAGATAGATAGATAGATAGATAGATAGATAGATAGATAGATAGATAGATAGATAGATAGATAGATAGATAGATAGATAGATAGATAGATAGATAGATAGATAGATAGATAGATAGATAGATAGATAGATAGATAGATAGATAGATAGATAGATAGATAGATAGATAGATAGATAGATAGATAGATAGATAGATAGATAGATAGATAGATAGATAGATAGATAGATAGATAGATAGATAGATAGATAGATAGATAGACGAGGATGTAGATTCAACTCGCATTGCGCAAAACCGGTGGAATTACAACCAGATCAACATACCTACTTTGGTACCAGATTCAATATAAATAAATTCGAAAAGTTTGAGGGTCGAGTGCACCACTTTGGTGACTTGCGGAGAAGGAACACAGCGTAAGACGAGACTTTTGTTGCTCAACGTTTGGACCACCATGAGTGATCTTCTTTAGAAGAAACACAGTCGCACTCAGTGGAAGAACGAAATATCACAAAATTCAATCAGACCTTAGTAATACCAATACTTTTTGGGGACAACTGATCGACGAATCACTGATGGGTATGCGTGGTGAACAAATGGGTCCACTAGCCGTGACAATCTCTACTTGATATCGTTAATAAACCTTGATTAAGTGTGCACAGACTTTGGCAATCATTCGAGTTAGTGTGCATGATGTTAGAAGCAGTATACCTTGCGCAGCACTGCTGTGAACGCCTCAGGAGACCAGTATGGAGCAGCTTAGTTTGCTAAAGAAAACGCGAGCCTCCAGGGGTTTCGTTGAAACTAGCAGTCTTATTTCCCCCAAAGTAAAACACTGTTCTTTTCGTGTTGTGCTTGTATTGCACGATACATACTGTTAATTCCCGGAAAGCATCTTGAATATATGTACCGTTGCAGTTTGCGTAGTGCGCACCGTAAACTTGATCGGCTTAGTCACCTTGTGTTGTGGTCTCAATCAGATTCACATGTTTTCGTTTTTGAGTAAGTTTCTGGCATTAATTTTGAACGGAGGTTCATCATACGGTATCTGGCCTGTTAACTGAAAGACAAGATAGGCTGCAGGCCGTTTTTTCAGTCTGGTTTATAATTTTCTCAGAAGTCGAATGTGGGTATTTTGTCGGCTTCGAATTTATTCAATTCTACTGCACTGCTTCTGTATACAGGCTAACATGGTTGAATCAACTGCTGCAGATGTACTGACAGATTAAGCTTCTTTGAGGTACACAAATATGTGGAAACCTAAATTTCGCAAGACAGTTTAAAAAACTGGCTCAACGGTGAGCACTTTCAGTCCTGCACATGAAAAGCGGTATCTTACACTCATGTAATGGAAACTAACTGATGCACACATTAGGTCGCACATTCAAAATTGTTGTCAGTATATTGCAAACAACCACGTGGTGCATATACCGAATTACGCATAAACTCTTTCTCTGTATTCAAGAGATGATTGCGATGGCCGGTACGGTCAGACAGAACAATCCGTGGACTTATTTGGTCCAGAAGATCATGAAAGTATCAACTGACACTAATCTCTACAGTGCTGCTTTTGGGAGATAAGTACTCTGATACCCCAGATATCGTTATAGATGGAACTGGAATCCACTTTAACAACCCATATTCGGCTGATGGACATCAAAAGCAAATGTTCCAGTATACTCTCATCGATATGTTTGCAAGTAAGTCAGTGTTTTTGGAAAGAAGCAGCGGGTGCAAATACCAAGAAGCTGTTATTTGTTGAAGTTTAACGTAGCCCATGCAAACAAGCACTCGCCACCTAAACGAATGAACTTCTCTTCGAAGAACGGACGCAGTACTGGCAACAAGTGACAGATGCGCTTTTGTCAGGAGCAGAAGGTTTGCAGCATTGCACTCAGCCCAAATGTGCATCCAAGCGGCGGTTATAAGGCTACAGATCTCCTTTATGAAAGAATAATTTCAAGCAAGTGATGAGGTGTACACTTAATGCTAAGCGACGTACAGCTAGCACTCGGCTGAACTGAAGTCATTTCAAAAAGCCTAATGTCTGTTAACAGTGTACTGGGAGTGATTTGAATCTGCCAAACATAGAGGAATAGCGTGATGCCCAGACATACGGTCACTGCCAACACTCCAATCACCGATCGATAACAGTCAGGAAGTTGAAATAGTAACTACAGGAGACGTCACGTTTCGAAGATTGCATGAACGCTTCTTCAGTTAGACACTAAATTGGCCGTGTATCGCGTGTTTATAACTTCAAGATGTGGACGACATACAGGGATCATTTCTAATTCCCATAATCGACTTCATCGACGATGTCCGTGGGAGATTATGAATTCTTTGTGTATTCGTTTGCCATATCGGATCTTGGGTACTGAAGTTCAGAAGGAAAAAAATGGTATCGCATTGAAAGTATTCTGGCACAAAGACAGTTAGACTGGTCGGGTTTCACGGAATCGCACGGGATCGAAACGAAGTCCCAAACACTTACCATAGAAACAATAAAAAATCAGTGTACAAAGCGACCGAACAGCAAAACTGATCAAGATAGACGACTTTCCAACAAATTCTGAAAGGTCCAGTTTTTATCCCATCCCACTCTTCCCATAGACAGAGGTGCCCTGCAAAAAACCATAATCGCTGACGTGTTGCGCTCCTAGACTCAGTGATCCGATGCCAAAACTTAGAAAAGAAATTTTCAAACCACGCACACTGAATGCATCAGCACTGGTAAATTAACAAAAGTGCTCAAAGAATGGACTCATTAATACGAGTAGAATAAGATTTTCGGGAAACCAGTGCCCTTGAATGGTATCAGTCACGAATTATCGACTGTCAAGTTGAGGTAGGTTTGCTGTATTGTTGAATAATAAATGTGTACACTTAGTATACATGTATCACTCGATTATCCACTGCAACAGAAATGGCTCGTCTTTGGCGACCTGCATAATGGATGACTACATGTTATCGTGCGGGGAAGATGTGATTTCATAGTAAAACTTGGGAAAATTGGTAGATGACAACACTTTTCTATTGTGTAGCGACGCGCCAGTATTCACCGCAAAGCTGTTATGTTAGAACCGACTGAAAGCCATCAGCAAGCCTCCGAATATCAACTCACCAATCATATTCCTTCGGATCTTAAGCGAATCCATAAGCTCAGATCCAGCTGTTCATACAAGATTTGCGGAAAATTGGTATCACCATGTCAAGGTCCGATGATCCATTGACTGTTGACAAGTAAATTCTTATACGATGCGTTTAAAAACCGACAAAAGATACAAGCGTAATTTCCGATCCGTTTTTGAAATGAACCTTGGCCTAAAAGGGCATCCCATACCCTTTTAGAGACGATTATAATCACGTCCGACTTGGAGATGATTACTACGCAAAAAAGGCCTTTTTTGGTAAACTTTCTGAAGGTAAATATCTACGAATACATAGCAGCACACATTTTGCTCTATATGTGTCCGATGCAGTTTGTGATTCAATGTTCACAGTAAGTTATTCAGCGGGTTGTTTGTGGTTTCGATAATCGACTGTCTTATTCTTCGGAGTTAATTCAAAAGATCTTTCGCCAGCTACACACCTAACATGAGAACACCTGAATTTAGACTTCTCAAAGTTCCAGGCAGTTACATTTTACATCTTCGTTAGCTGTTAGAAACAAGTCCAAAAACAACTCATACGTCAGCACAACTGTCAGAGTGATCAAGCTGCATCACGCTTGACCTTGTTGTTACTTTTGTGACGCACGGAAGGCAAACAACATGGTAAGAATAAACCGTGTCATGCACGAGATGGATGTGATATCACAAAGTGAGATGGCGCACTACTCAGAAGGAAAGTGCATTAATTTGGAAGCGTTTCAAAATCAGCCACAAGCGACCGATTATCACGACTTTCGAATTCAAAGAGTTAGAATCTTCCAGTATATATCAACAATGGACCGAACAATCAGGAGGAAATACTGTGATATCATGAATATCTTGGCAATCGAAACAAGAGATGGCCTTCTTGCAGCCTGTGGTCATTATAAACGGAGGATCCAACCGACAGTCATTTGAGCCTCTCGTTAATATTCAGTCAACTTGCAGAGGACTGTCTAACTCCAACTATGTGCAATATGTCGTTTAAGTAGAAAAGAAAATAATGGAAACTTGAAAACTGCCTATACAGTAATCCCCAAATATTACCACACTGAGTTGTCTGTTTAGTTGCGGGTCAAAGGTAATTGTGTGCTTAAACGGATAATACAGAAAATCATAAATTCCAGCTTGTGTTGTCTGATTTAACAGGTGAAGTAAGTACTCAGGATCACATTGTTTCGTGTGGCCTCCATCAGTCCTTCCTTCATGTAGGTTACCACGCGGATGGATGAACAAATCACCGATGAAAGGACTTGTTCCGACTGAAGAAGCAATTGTATTTGCCCATCTGTGATTTTCTCCAGAAAGTGCGCAACCGAACCAACGGCCAAATCCGTCAAATTTTGACACGAAAGTAATGGATGTGGATCCCCTGTGATGCTTCTCGAAGCGTAGAGTAATTAGGACCGAGTTCACAGGACTTTGATTATAGAAATGGATCTTAAACACCCACCGGCCTCCTGTTGTTTACAAACAAATGTCACAAATAAACAGTTTTATGCAGATCCATCTGGAGACTACCCACCAATGACAGGTAAGTAAGAGGAATGTTAGTGTGTGAGAATTCAAAACTGAGTTTTATGTTTCAAAAATGAACACCTGTCCTGCATAACCATCCTAAATTTTTAGGATGTTGAAGCTGAAGCTAAGAGCAAGTCAAAAAGGCTACACCGGCGCGATTGTAGGGAAATCGTCACTCAGCAGTCTGCCCTGATATGAGCTCAGTAGGAAACTGTGGAATACTCCATTGCGTTGGATACCGACTCATCGACCAGTATTCATTAATGTACATGCATTCGTATCTATAGCCACATCGTTGTTGAATAAGCGACGACATGGCATCGGTTGCGCTTTCACTGTCCGATTTCGTCAAACAATCAAGCCAGAATGTCAAGTTGGCCTTCCGTGGTACCAACTGTGGTCATGGCATAGGATTCAAATGGAACGAACAAACGACTAAGTGTGAACTGTGTAAACCGTGATAGAAGCTATAACGGGAGCAGTGAGTCCAGGAAACAGATTAAAATCTGCGAGTAATAATGTGGGCAATATTGGTAGGAAACACGTGCCACAATCAGGATGCGCACTGAGCGTACACAGCGGTTTAAATGATGGATCGAAACCAATTTAGATGACGATTATCGATGGGTTGACAGTACAATGACAGCTGCGACCATAAAACCTCGAGAGTGTACAGATTATGTATGACAAGGGTAAACAATAGCATGTAACGGTAGACACCATTGTGCTGAATCAATGACACATAAAAAGGCCTCAATACACAAGCGTCTTTGAATCTGGTTATCTCATTTCCTTGATATGACTTTCTGAAAAATCCTTTTACTATGAAAGTGGTCAGTAGCTAGGTTCACTCACAAGGGGTGAGAATCGATGGTGGCTAGAATAACGGCGGACTTACACACTGAGTACTTGTCAGAGTGAACTGACGAGTTGGGCCTGCTAGTGATGCATACCTGCGTGCATGTATGTTTGTCCACAGGACTGCATGAGTGAAAGGGAGTGTGCGTAAACTACCATAGGAGACTGCATAATACACGAAGAAAAGCTAAAGCCCAAAAACGGGAGAGTGCACAGAGCTCCCAATATAGCGTAGATAAGAGCAGCAACGACCAAGAAAGAGGACGACTTAAAAGCTATGAAAAGTGGCCGGCAGGTTGCGCAAGGACTTGTTTTATAGATGAGGAAATCCATTCATCAGAAGGTCAAAAATTGGGACAAATATCACAAGAAATTGAGCGGTTGGGGCAGCTTTTCGGACGGATAACTTGGAGAAATGTGCGGTTTTCTCAGGTTATACGAATTTCAAACGGCAAAATCGTTTATGAAGAACCTGTATCCACGATTGGTAGCTTTGTAACACCCGTCATATGTTGTCTGTAAATGTTTTCAGACGTTATCAACACAAATGAACACGGAGTTACGCAACTGGAGGTGCTTTCATAGTTGAACAGCGTCAGTTAGCTTTTGTCGGATACGTGGAGGGTCTAGGGTTGAGTTCATATAAGGTACGTGGGCCTGACGTAGTTTCTTACGGTGACCTGAAGGAACCAAATACGAGATTTTTCTTTGTTGTGCAACATAAGTGCGCAAATAAATAGCTACTCCGATCAGAATGAAGCGGATGATGACGTCATGATATTGGGGTTTAATGATAAAAGAGTTTCTCGAGGCCACTAGGAGAGTGGTGGTATGCCATGTTCGCTAAATTATCACGTCAGAACAAATGATTCGGTTTGAAGGAGGGCTTCGAATTAAGCTGGGGTCTGCGATGTGTGGTGGCACCTGTAGGGATCCCAGAACATGATACTCAGAATCGCGCAATTATTTTCTCCAACTGCTTGGGTAGGAATATCAAGGATGGATTTTCATGTTCAAATAGAGATTCAGGAAAAATAAGGCTAAAATTATTGTAATGTATCCTAAATTTCGGGAGAAAAAGGCCAGTAGCCGTTGACTATCTATATCAGTTTGATGGCGGGCACAGCCATCGGCAGATTGACAGACGTCAGCTCGTACGCTTAGCTGAGCATCCAAATCCGGCTTGAATAGAACATGGGGACACGGTGGGAATGTAATGCACTGATGATGAGTGGGTTCAAAAAGGATGTTAATTGCCAGATCACTTTGTGTGAATCGAATCAAGCGTAACCTCGAATAAAAGTCTTCTTGGAGAATCATGGCTAACATTCAGAATGCCATCGATGTGGGAATGAGCATGGCCGAACTCCGTCTTACACAAATTCAGCAACCACATACAACTAATCACAAACTGTTCAGCAGATTTTAAGCTACCTAAGACCAATTTAGCAGTCCTTAGTACTTAGTTATCTAAAACAGAAAACATAGAAAGGAATGATGAAACTCAAAGTTCTGTAACAGACGATCAGAGTCGGTGTCCAGTAAATAGAACACTATATTTCACATAATATCTGTTTCCTGTAACCACATCATCAAGTGATTTACCTGATTTACGAACGGCTGAGCGTCTGCACACCAGATGACAATCGATCAAGCGATACTGATAAGCCAGTAGCGGAGTTCAGAGATGAGTGATAAACTGGGTGAACATCTAGTTTGTGTGCTATTGCGCACGTATGCACTTACAAGATTATGTGAATGGAAGGAAACATATGTGTAAGGGTAGGAAGTGATGAGGAGCCTGCAAGAAGCTACAAAGCGACACGACCAGCTGATAACTGTACGAATCGCGTTTAAAAAAATCGGGTTCAAACCAATCATTGCAGTATTCCAAGGTGAAAGGCAACGCAAATCAAGGTCACACAGTCAGCATTCTTCATTTGTTTTAGTCAGCAATGTAAATGAAAATTCAGGGCGGCGTGAACGAACAGGGGCCGTCTGACACATGTTCCTAACAAACCAATCAGGTTCTGAAGCAATCACTATCAGGTGAATTCGAGCGGCCAAAGCATGATTCCAAATGATGTCCGAGTTTATTGTACGTCAGTAAAAACACGGAAAATTGGCATAAAAAATGAGAGTTTCCAAGAGCGAACTATATCCAATAACACTAAATGCATTAAATAGGGCTCAGTATACAACGTAAATATGCTCATGATAAAAGTGCACCAAAATGCTGCACACTTACCACAGTAACTGGACCAGCACGAGAATGGGACGTTTCAAGCTGGTGAACCGATATCATGCCGTAATCGGACTAGGCATATCGAATGGACTTAGAAGGGACGTGCATCCTTGGTACCGTTGAATTCTCTATATCTGAAAACTTGACCTTTTTCTAAATTCGGCTCTGCCTGTACTGTCTCAGGCTTGTTCAGCGACATATTCTGAAGGTCCTTTATTTGGAAATGTGCAAGGCATGTTGGTTTGATTTCGTGCCCTTATTAGATCCACAATCACTCTCTCTAAACGGAAACGTGTTCCAAACTTCAAAGTATCATTCACAGGCTGATTGCGTTTATAGGATGCAGAATATCATCTGGTGTTATTCCAACCCTACGAACCACACGGGCTTCACTGCGAAACGGATACCATTGGAACGATGAAATACTGAGACTAGATTGAGGTCACAAGACGTTAAAACATCACCCGAAGTTGAACCTCGCCTATCCGCAACATCGAACGTGATCCTGCACATGCAAACTTATGAATAAGCATTGTATCGCTTATGGGTTTTCATCAGAACAGTCAGAAGACAGTTTGTGAGGTTTAACATTTCCGATCGTTTTCCTCATCCTCGGAGGCAAAACATCCTAAAGTTAGATGTAATGGATGCAATAACAATAGGTCCGGTACCGGATCAGTCAGAATCATTTTTGTGCCAACCGTTTGGGTTGTTGTGCTCGTATCAAGATTGTTCCACAGAAAGTCATCGGTAACTTATTTCAAGTGATTACTGGAGAAAGTGCAGTGAAACATGAGTACGGTCAGCCAACTAGCCTATCTCAAAGTTATATTTGGGAAATGATGACCTTCAGATTGATCTGGCCAGGTCGGTCTGCTCCCAACTCGTTGCACCGCAAAGCTTGCGGCAGCGGGCTTGAAATGCATTTATGGAACCTTTACGAATGATGTTGATCACTTTTGTCGACATAGGTGACAAGGCAACTGCAAGCGTGCACAACCACTGTTTATCTAAGCTGTCTGACTACCCTGGAAGCGAATATCAACCACACCCTCCTTCGGTTCGGTATGTCGTTCGGTGCACTTAAATGGCTGTATAAGTTAGAAATGTGAAATATTCGACGTCTGCCACTTGTGAGCTAAACTGACTAAATGAGACTGTTTGCACAAATGATGAAAGGCATATTTGATATTTTTATAAGTTGGACTAGATCAGAGCTATCAAGTGGGCGAAATCGTGGAACATATATATAT